CTTTTTTTTTTTTTTTTTTTGGAGAGTTTATAATGAGGAGAGATTAGCAGTTAGGGATGAGACCAAACATATCCTAACAGACTACCCATCAAAAAAATTCTTGGATGTTTTTCGACTCGTCCGGATTCGATCCCGGGTCCCAAAGCGGCACGTTGCTACCATAACAGCTCGATCATCTGAACGTCCGTAAATAAGCATTGTAAAAAGATTAATTGCTGAAATTAATCGACTTTGATGTAAAATATTGAGACAAAATGAGTCTAGGCTTAATTTTGAAAACTTTGTATATAAAATGAACTGGATACATACTGTATTCACTTGCGGCGACAAATCACGGACTGGTGAGATGGCGCCACTCTTCTAGGAGTTTCCCGTGAATCTCGGATTGAAAAACGGGGACAAGGGTTTTTCCCGGATGGGATTCTGGGTATTGTTGCTTTTTCTTGTCGGGTGATCGCTGCCATGAGCACATGTAGCTCTCTCTCAAGTGTACTCGTAAGACTGTTGTAAATAAATGTTGTTTTAGTTTAAAACGTGGTCGTGGACTTAACTAATTCACGTTTACCGCCTTCTGATAAAGACAGTCTTTGTGGAGATGGAAATGGATGGAGAAAGACGGCCAGGTTTCGACTAACCGACGGTGGCCATCAATTACCTCCACACTTTTTCTCTTTTCTCCCTGTGAGCCCAAAGAAAGCTTCCCCCATCTCCATATAAAATTAAAATAAAAATATTTCTTATTAACTGAAGACTTGTTCTAGCGGGTCGAGTACCGAAGTACCACTGTATTTGATTAACACGTTTTGATATACACGAAAGCGGATTAATTATAGTCGAGGGATTAATTAACGGCATTAATCGACGGATATCTATATAATTATATATATATGTTACCGCTAAAGATAGAAACTCGTAAATCTGCAGATTACCTAGTTAATCTGCAGATTAACTAGCGTGATCAGTTAAAGTTGTGAAAATTGTTCCATTTCTCAAATTACCTTGATAATGTGCAGAGTATCTAGGTAATCCGCACATTACCTACTAGGCACTCGGTAAAGTGAAAATAAGATCTTTGCCACAAATAAATGTACCACAAATAGGTGTGCTTGTCGCAGAAACCAATTGCTATGAAATTCAAAGTGTCACCAATCTTTAGACTGCACAATTGGATAATGTTACCTATGGTGGGTAAAATGGCGGCTCGTCTCTGATTCCAGCAAAGAGAAGAAAGGAAACAGTGGGGACGCAC